TGATGGAGGAAAGACAACATTGCTCTGTCTGATCGATAAAGCTGCTTGCCCCAACTTGGATAACTTTCCGCACCTCAGTTCTCCGACTGAAAATCCTAGCTAGCCATAAGTGAGCAGGTTGAATCGGCAGTTTTTGAACCAGCTGAAGCTCAACAGTGAGTGCTTTAACATAAGAATATACAGGAATTCACTCGTTACCTGCATACCCATTTCGTCAAACTGATTGAAAGTGCAGGTGGCTGTCATTATCACCGAACTATTCCACCAATGGCAAGTATTCACGAGCAGTAGTGCTTTGTATCACTCAGGTCCAGCCAAATGTAAAAAGACTACAAGCATTGATGTGACTAAACCTGAATGAGTGCAAATCCATTGACAGATCTGGGTGCTTGACCGAATGCCACTCATAAGGTTGTGGACAATTATTCTACAGCCCACGCCCGAATTTTGCCAATCTTAGGGCTCAGTCCCCGAGTTCCCGTCAACCTTAAGTTTCATCGAAGGTGAAGTTAGTATCAAAATGATTGTATTTCTAAATTCGTTATCGCCCCATTCAAATGAGTATGAGGGTCGTTCTAAACAGCGACCATTTAGAACATGCAGGATATTAGGTAGAGAAACAGAACATTGTTCACTCTCCTCTGGCAGATTACACACTATATATATATATATATATATATATATATAATTCGGCGTTTCACGTGGGTTTATGCGATTTATAATTTGACAACTTGTCTGCTTTTTGGACTCTATCAACTCATGATTAGTCGTCGTGATGAAGGGATGTAGTCTACCTAATCCTACTCAGATCTTACGACGGAGTCATTTTTATAGTGAATTGCCCATTTTAAAAATAGTTTTACAACAGTTTGCATTGGCTGCTTGCGTACTGAATAACAGAAAAAAAATTTCATCGTGTGGTTGTCCGTGATTGTTTTGATGTTTTGTTATCATCTATAGAGGCATTATATAAATAGACTCAGGGTTAAGAAAATCTCCATATTTTGCTCATATTTCTACTCAGTAGCAGTTAGGCAACGTTTTTTGAGAGAATTAGTAGTAACTTATCCCAAAATGTAATTGGGCTACGAGGTGTGAGGATCTTTCCTGTTACCCTACAGACCAGGAATAAACCCATCCTTGGAAAACGGTGTAGTCTTTTCGATCATTTAACCAAGGCGCTTGATGAATTATGGGTTACCTTGGAAAAAAGTAAATTCATGACCGCGGATAATTTTGTTTGTCTCTTGGTAGCAGAAAAATAAGTATTTGTAGCACTTACAAATTATGCCCAGCCCATCTGCACTGTCTTCAAACGCGAATGTGGACCCTCTGGTTGTGGGCACTTTTCTCCGAATAGAATTTGATATTCCTTATCTACCGATTCCGCTTGACGGCACATGTGCTTAAACGACGTATACGAATTTTACGGAGATACGTTGCTATGGTGTGAAGCTGATCGTACTCAGTCATGTTCCCGCAAGTCGTAAACCGTTTTCCCAACAATTGTCAATTGCTCCACATATCAGAAGTACTAGGCTGTCCATGCGTCTACCAAAAACAAACAAGATCTGTACCCACTTATCCACTTTGATCGGTTTTATCATTCTATTGTAGCAGTCAACCTCAAAAAGGTGTCAACACTTTGTACCTGACTTCAAAAGCTTTGGTTGGGATGTCGATAGCATCAACCATAAACCCAAAGCTGAAAGTGTTATGCCCAGTTACTACATATTTGTCCCAATAATTTGCTTCATGGCTGCTCTTGATTGCTAGTGCACTGCAACACTTTTTACCTTTTTCACAAGTTTTCAAGTGGAAAACTTCACGTGAAAAACTTTTTAATATTTTCTGCCTAGTGCACTTGATGGCTTGGCTGGCAAGAGCTGTGCCAATGAGAGAATTTGAATCGCTCACGTTGGCAAATGTGCCCCGAGAAACATTTATGGTATACGTTTTGGTAGAAAATTGGAGCGTAAAAAACTGCATCAGCAGAGTGAGGAAAAGACATGATTTTGGTTTTGTGGGAAACTTACTTGCGACATAGCTCAACCTCCCGTTTATGATGTTTTTAAGCAACTGAATGTGACGCATCAGGTCGCTTCACGTTTCAGTCGGTGAAATATCTGAAATATCACGATACGTTTATAGACGTAATACACTACTTATGTGGTTGTTGAAAATTCTTCGACGAGAGATTCAGCTGGGTTCCAGGTGAGTCTCCCGTAAAACCGAATTGGTTTGCAAATGAGTCCATTCGCTAATTTCGCGCAAATTGCGTTCAAGTACAAAATAAATTTGACGGTAACTCGGGAACTACGCCTACCTGATGAGCCCCAATAAAAGCGAAACCGGCCGTGAGCTGTCGGAAGACTTTCAGCAACCTTATTAGTAGTGTAGTTTGTTCATGCATCGGGAGAATCTGAACCCTTCAAGATCTGGACGATTTCTCCACGGCATGCGCAAATAATGAGGTAACTATGTGCTACTTGTGGCAGCTAAGTAGTTAAAAATGAGAAGCTCCTTATGTGCTCCGCTTTCGGTACACCGAGTGAATCAACCCGAATTTCCTTAAGTGTTGGACATTTCATTCACTTTTGATATAGGAATCGGATCTATCTCATGACAAGTGAAACCTGGACTGAGCTGGGACTATTTACGAACGTTAGTTAGTAGTCTGCAGTGTGCTGAATCCATTTTATCAGTCAGGAATCGTCATGTTGATCCTCATGAATTTTGAAGGACAGTTTGGGATGTGAGCTCAGCTCGCCAGCGCAGATTGTCTTACTTCCTTCGTATTAACGGGCACCTCTGAAGACCTGCTCATTCCGGATTTTACGGAGCTTGACCTGCTGATGCCCCAATTCTATGGGTTGGAGGCTGTCAGTTTCACTAGTCAGACATTATCGTTATCACCACAGGTTAGTGGTCAAAATATCTTGACCATATGGCAACCTAAATGTGTATGCTGTAAGTTGGGGTGTAAATTACCCCGCTTCGTCGTCAGTTCGAGTGGTTGTCGCATAGTATGACAATGTGGATAACTTACTGCCATCTTTCTGACTCTGGCTAAATACAGTGGGTTTTTCTTTGATGCATATATTTAACCAAGGGGAAAGTATCTTAAAACTTTGAGTATCTCTTGACAGCTAAGTGATTCCTTCCAGTTTTTCACGCACTTCATCTGCATACGCATTGATTTTTATCAAACATTTTAACAAAATTTCCACATTTGTTGCATACGTCAGTGGTCTGCCACACTAATCACCCCTCCTGACGACACTGTCAAGGATATATGGTGTTGATGAGTTAAAATAAGCGCGAAATTCGGGTCCAATTCTTCCACCTTATGGTGTGGACTCACCAAAATGACTGTGCCAGGATAGGGGTGCAATTGCTTGAACTATAGTAATGTGAGCTTGCACTTCACAGATCCCACAACTACCCAGGATTTGCACCGGCTGGTTTGCCCTTGCCCGTTCCATCGTTTGTTCATCCTGTTCTGACTTATCTTGACACAACCCGATTTAACCTGCACACCGTTTATCCAGAATCCCAGATCGAAAAAAACATTAATTCTCAGCATTCTATTTGCCATTATCTAACCCATAAACGTGGACAATTAGTGTTTGTCGCAGGTAACTGCTTATATTCGGCCGCAGTTACTACGTAGTTTGATTGCATGTCCTCGATATGAAATCTGGTGTAGACATGGCTCAAAGCTATAAAAAGACAAAACAGTTTGGCCTGCGACATTTGTTCCGCGTCAGCAAGGTTATTTCGTGACGTGTAAAGTCGATACACAATGTTCGTGCGGCCGTAACATACTAGATGCATTCGTAGCGTCTCGTTAAATACTACAAAACTTATTACAGTTAAATACTGCGGAGGTATTTTTCACTCGCACCTTTCGCCAGTCCTTAGATTTTCATGGATCCAGATGGCAAGTAAGGCTGATCCAGCCACAAATCCAGATTTTCCCTTACAATGAGCATTCTTTTACTAAGTTCATGATGTTGGCGGGTGTTTGTGGAAGTCTTCGTAGGGCATGTCAGCTTGCTGAGCCTAAACATTCTTCGACAAATAGCTAGGTTGATTTCAGGTATTCTCAGCCAAAATGTTTAAAAAATTTTGGAACGTGGCTCAAGCAGTCATTTGAGTTACTGCGACTCTCGCCAACCAAATTCATACAGATAGTCCAAATAAGGAAGTCGACTGAAAGCGGATAGTTTGGTCAGACTACCTTAAGAATTTCAGACATAATTTGCATTAGCATCCAAGCCTTGGCGTGTACTGAACGCACGTATTTACGAACTTCTCGCATCCCGAAAGTTTCTCATATCCGTGGGAATATATCTTAATGATTATAATAGATTGCTTATTAGCATATTTCACTGTTAATATTTCCCTGATTTTAGGAAGATCTTTACTTGACTTGTGGGCAGACTTGATCTGAAAGCACGCATCTTTAAGGCTGTGGTTGATTTTTACCACCAGAATGTCGGCTTGTGTGTAAATTGGACGTTGTTGTGATTGCGGAAATTCAAGAGTATGCACCGGGGTTCTTTCTCTGGCTGCATCGTTGCTTGTACCTGTTGTTTTTCGTAAAAAAGTGACGCCAGATTTTTTATCTGCTTAATGATGACCCGTTTTATAATAAAGGGTAAGTTTTTCCTTTCCAAATTTTACCTTACTTTTCCAAGAAATTGTTCCGAGGCTATAAAAAATTATATATATATTGGTCTGCTGATGCAGGCAGAAAAGATTTGGGCATTATAAAGAGCTGATAAACCATAGTCAAACTCCAAATTATTGTTCCATTATTATATTGAAATGGTAAGAAAAGGTTGTTGTGCTTAGTTAAATGTACTAAACCTATACAAAACGCCTCCAGGAAAAGTGATACAATATTCTGGTCGTGCATTTAAGGAAGCACCTGTTTAAGACCACGTCGTTTTATGCATACCTTCATTCTGCACAGTACTATGGTGCCGCCTAACCTTCAGCGCTAGATTGTGGCTGTTGTTCTGTAATATCATGATTTGCCTGCTCGGAATCTGGATTTTGATCCATCTGAAAATATCTGACGTTTGTTTCGGTTGGCTTGCCATACGCTGTACAAAGCCATGTTCACCGTCTTCCGCGATTATCATAAATTTCTATGCAATGTGAACGAAAGTGCCCACGAACTATTTGCTTCAGTCGTAGGTTATAGAAATCTTTGAACCTTCTGGGCGAGATATGACCTGGCATTAAGGGCCTCTTTAAGTGCATTTCGCGACAGTGGAGTATGTTACCAAGTCCAATATCATCACAGTCTGTTTATACCATTGATGGTTCCTACTAGTGTAACGGCGATACTACTGATGGGGAGGCACGCGAGTAGTATGTGTATTATCGTGGATACTCGCTTTGCGTCTATTGAGAAGGAGAGATCTGTTGCGGAATTTGCGGAGTCGCTTTGTGACATCTTCTTGGATTTGAGCGAGGAAAGATCGGAGTCAATGAATCTCCAGGAAAGTTCGAGAAGGCGCGTTCAGGAGAAGATGGATGTACAGTTTTTGTAAATAAGATGCGAATTCGCGTTTTGCTTCCCTGCACAGTGGTCTGTAACCTGTAAATTGGAATTTCCTAATAAACAAATCCACACCGAAGGCCTTCTTCCTTTCACTTGATGACGTGACCAGAAGAAGAATGAAGATCCCGTTGCCGCAACCCTTTGAGGATGGAGATGTTCGGACCCTCCTGGAGGACTTTGAGAAGGGTGCGGAGGCTGCCGGGCTGAAGATTGACTGGAGTAAGTTAGTGGAGCTGAAGATAGTCCTCAGGGGCCGGGCGAAGGCGGCCTTGGATGCGGCCAGAACGGGCCCTCGGAAGATGGACTGGGCCGCCATGAAGGAAGTCCTTGCAGCGAAGTTTGACAAACCGGCCGACCGCCAGGACGCTATGCGGCGGTCCAAGGCGGCCAGGATGGCAAGCGTATCTGACCCGAGCGTGTTCTTCGCCGGCCTGGAGCAGTTGATGGATCGTGCCTTGCCTGGGCTCGACAGAGTATCTCGCCACCAGTTGCTGTCGAACCGGTTCATCGCAGGTGTCCAGTCACCGCCTGGTGCCCAGTCGCGGTCGGCACGAGCAACTGGCCTGTTGAGTGTGAGGAGCTGGTGCGTCTGGCCCGGGAGTTGCTGGAAGCACTACTGGTCACGCTGCAGTCGCAAGAGTAGAGAGATGGTTCATTAGTGGAACAACTGCAGACTAGAGTGGACCTGCTCGCCAGACACCTTGCAGCCGCGAAGACAGAACCGCACAGGCACGCTCGAACCAGCCGGTGCTACATGGAAGGCAAGCATGGCCACTGGGAAAATCAGTGTCCCCGTACCCGATCACTTGTACACAATAAAACTTTAGAGCACTCCTCTTTTCCTGGGCGGGTCGCGATTAGCGCACAGACACAAGCTACCATACAAGCCGTTGTCGAGGGAGACGGGAAAAAGGAGTTATGTTTGATTGATGCAGGAGCAGCCCTATCGCTGAGGCAAAGAGAGAATCAAGCTGAACGCAGACCGTGCGCGCTAGCCATGTGAGCTGTTGGTGAATATGGACTGAAGATTGGCGGATTGTCAATGCACTCGATACGCCCAGGCGACAAGTCCGTGCAGCACGCGTAACTGATCAGCTCAGGCGGAGAACAGACAATACTGGGTGGCGGAATTTCTCAAGGGTACAGATTCCGTGATTGACATAAAGCAGGGAAAGCATGTGACAAAGTATGACGCAATTACGTTTGAAAGTCACCCAGGCGCTGCCATGAATGAGCTATGTGTGAGTTCGAGCCCATCCAGTCTTGCAGTAGCACTTTACACTTTGCAAGTGTGAAGCGCATCCCGAACCTGGAAGCAGATTTATTTAGATTGGTTAGGATTGTTTGCATTACCACGGGGTCAGATCCAAGAAGAGCTATGTCGTCTGCGTATTCGATGTCTGTGAGCGAAGGCCCATGGACCACTTCGACTCCACGGGCATTAGAGGCTGGTAGTGAGTCTTCCATGATCGTATCAATGACGAAGTTGAAGAGGAAAGGTGAAAGAGGACAGCCCTGTCGGACACCACTGGATGTGGTGAACTCAGGAGAGAGCTTCCCGTAGACATGTACACGGCCGCGGGAGTTGGCGTACAGCGCCTTAATGAGGGTCAAGAATTTATGAGGGACACCTTTGCTCCACAGACACTGCCATAGTGCTTGGCGGTCCACAGAGTCAAAGGCAGCTTTCAGATCAAGAAAAACAACCATTGTTGGTTGCTGGAAGCAGTGTCGCTGTTCCAGAATCTGTCGGAGGGTGAAGATATGATCGATGCAACCTCTTGCAAGACGGAACCCAGCTTGGTTTTCACGGATCTGTCTCTCCCTGTGTTCAGTCAACCTTCGAAGGATAAGGCCAGAGAGCACCTTCGCTGCCACAGCTAACAGGCTGGCGCCACGGTGGTTTACACATAGCGTCCGTGTGCCCTTTTTGAAGATAGGGATAACTGTCGACATGTATTAGTGCACAGGTGATGATAGTCGTAATACAAATCAGAAGGTGAATGTGCACTAATAGAAGTTTTTAACATGATTGCGACACGTATAAAAATGAATACCATGCGAAATGGGAGCAGGTCAAAAAGGTACTTATCGTGTGCGAAAGATCTTTGGTGAAAGTCCAGACGGTGGTAACGTGTTTTCTCCGCAGTTTGGCTTATCCACGTGTTCCATGATTATCCATGTACTTGTGAAGAGGTTGACGTCATGCTCCCTGCACGCGTGCGAGTCTGCGGGTCTTGACTGGGTTCGGTATGCCTTTATGCAGGTCCCACTGCCTATACGTGGGCGCGTCGGCACATGAGTGTTTGCTACGCTGACTAGGCGGTGCAGACAATCGATGTCCGATGAGCTGTGTTGACGAGATGATATTTGTGAGTATGAGAAAAAAGACTAGCCTCGCGATCCAGTGAGCGACTGTCAGCTGAACAGTCCAGTATGTGGGTGACTGGGTCGCTACACATGCCTCATTCTGCGGGCACTTTCTCTTCGTCTCACATAGTACCGATAAGCTTTGTCAGGTTGGTCACCAGGGATTTCAAGCCTTCTTTGAAGAGGGCTAGATACAGACCGTCCGGTCCTGGTGCCTCCTCACGTTTCAGCACGGTTATTTCGTACCTTATTTCTTTTTCCGAAGGGCAATCGACGTTTACATTTCATTCGCCTGTATGCATTATCTCCACCGGCCGTGTTGCAGGAGGCCAGCTGAAGTGCTCTTCGAAGTGTTCGGCCCATCTCTCCAGTCGGCGTTTTTGCGGGTGAATTAAAGAGCCATCTTTTTCACTTATCGTTTCGCTGACCGTTGCTTTCCTAGGGCCAGTCGATCGCATCAGTTGATAAAGGGCACGGTTGTTTCCCGTAGCAAAACCATCTCCATCTAACCGAGCTTTCGATGTCAACCAGAGCTCTCGGTTTTCCTTAGACTCTTCACTAGTTGGCGTCTGAGGCATGTGCGTGCGCCGTTGTAATCTTTGCCTGCTGGTATGGCTTTCCCGGCATCAATCAGGGATAACAACCTCGAAGATATCCAGTGGTCTTATGGTAGATTTGGAGAAGTCTGGCAAGCAGCACTGAACGCCTATAGTATAGCTCCTTTCACATTTTGCCACGCTTCATCCACCTGCTCACTGCTACCACCGTATTGCTTTACTGTGGAGAGTGGTTGGGTTAGCTGAAATCGATACTGTTGAACTATGGCAGTTCTTCGAAGGTAGTGGATTGACATGCTTCTTGCCGACTTGCCCCCATAGGGCCTGAAGGGAAACGAACTGTCAGGCGCGCGCGCACCATGGCATGATCGGAATCGAGTGGTGTGCCCCAGAAGGAACGGCAGTCTTGAATTGTGGCTCTCCACCGGTGGCTGATGGCCACGTGGTCCAACTGAGTCCACGGTTGATTTGTAGTTGGCGGCCGCCAGGTTACGCGGTGCGAACGTTTATGTTGAAAGTTCGTACTTGCCAGAAACAGTTCGTGATCAGCACGCAAGTGAAGGAGTAGATCTCCGTTGTCTGTGCGGCGAACATCGACTCCCAATCGACCACTCAAATTTGATACACTGCGATACACTGTAAATCACTTGATGCGGAGGTCAGGCGTGTCGGGAGGACACCGCCGTCGTCACTCAATGAGCCCGTAAGATTCCGTGTCATCCAGTGTTTGGGATCTGAGGCCACAGAGCTACCACGTCCATCTAAATCATATTGTTACATGATGTTTCTGGCGCGTTTTTCAGCCTCAAGTGTATTCATTTGTCTTGGTCCCCATATATCGACCAGGAGAATTAGTCAAATGATGGCTCAAAGCCCCGTGTTCGTTTTTCGGTCCTCCACAGCTTTGTGTTGCGGCACTTTCGTATGCGGTCCAAACGTAATATAGACTCGCCCAGTTATGTCTGCATCCACTGAACCGTCCGGGCGATAGAATATGTCAACTGTCCTCAAGCTCTTTCCCAACCCCAAAAGTGTTAGAGCCCACTTGGGATACATTACAGATTTCCCGCTACGAATGTTATTGTGCGGAGTGTCCTCGATGAACGTAAGCATCTGAGTAAACCCTGGTCGCCATGTTCCAGGTCACGTTCGTAGCCTCATGGAGCCATGTGACACTGCACGAGCCTCTTATTTCAGTAGCTAACTGTGTGGGTAGGAGGCATGATGACTTACACAATCCAAACAGCTGATGTCTTCATTCATCAATGAGCTCAAACTTTTTTGATCCCCGAATGATCGCGAGTGCTTTGCCGTATGTCTGACCCACAGAGCGCAAATTCAGAATGTACTTCGGGTTATTACCGGTTATCCGTTGCGATGTTGTTCTACCACTGGCACGCAATCTGATTGGTTCGATTTGACCTCGGGCGATAGTGTGAACTCTAGGGAGGATGGAGATTTACTGATTACGTAAAAGCATTAGGGCTTTCCGACAGCAGATGGGAGGTGCCCTATGGTTATCTACCGAAGTAGCGGGTACAGGCAGACGTTGTACAGGGGTTTAAAACCATAAAGACATCCACATATAATTCTATTCGAGTGACACTGGATAGGTGCAGATAGTCATGGACTTCTACCGGAGATAAGAATACTCTGTTCTTAGATATATTGTTCACTATATACCTACCATCCAACCCAAGACCCAATTAAGCCTCCGGTTGCACTTTTGTACCTTCAGATTTATGAGGGGAACACAGCCTCTGCATTTGTTATTCGCGTCTTCGATGATGTCGCACTTGCAAAACGAAGGCGGCCACGTTGGATGTCTGTGAAAGGGTTGACACTCATTATGTGAGTATGTATTCAGGCCAGGCAACATATTCCGACCTCCGTCTCTCGATTCCGCCAGTCAGGTCTTGGGCAGACTGACAGCTCCCAGGCCTCATGCTTCCTCCGGTTGGCATGACAGCTAGGCACCAAAATGGTGTTACAGCTGAATTAAAGAAAGTCAAGGAGCGTTACTGATTTTGCTTCGGAGACTTGTTTTTCCTCTATTTCGGTCCATTAATAGGCTCACTCTGGTTCAGGCATCAAAAACATCTGGTTTACATGCACACGATGAATGACTTTCATCAGAGGTGGGACGATTTCATCGGGTATTCGGTTGTCTGGGTATTTTATGGACTTTAAAGCCTCGTATGAGACCTGGTTCCAACATCCTTTTGTGCACTACATTAGGGAGTCATTCACGCGATGCGGAACACGGTATGGGTGGCCTTGACGTGGTTCTCTTTGAGATTCATCTGACGCTTCAGCCCAGCACGATACCCTGAGACGTCTACGACGACTCGAAGCGCTTGAAAAATTCTTCGTCTGACCTCATAGACGGGGCACTTAATCCCACGGTGTTCGGTGGCATTTGTTGTACTTAGCGGTGTGCTATCCTCTGACCACCCCAGCATATCCACTCTCCGTTTGGCCCTCACAGAGAGCCCGGTTTTACATCAGTTGTCAGGGTTGTTTGTACTTCTCACAATGGATGCTACTATAGTGGTATATTCACTATTTCTGCGCGACCGTTTATGGGCGAAACATTACTTGCCTTCAGTCATGCGCGACACATTCTCTTGGGTGGGAGTAGGCAGCAGATTGACCGCAAGGATCAGGCAATTCACTGTTACTCAGACAGTTTATTTCCCCAGACAAACTTCAGTCTGTGCTAACATCTTGTAGCTCGCCTTATTGCCTCAGTCAGAATGGTCGAGCCCAAAATGGCTGTGGGTTTGGTTAGAAAATAATCACAACAGTTTGTGCTTCTTGTAGCTCGCCTTATTGCCTCAGTCAGAATGGTCGAGCCCAAAATGGCTGTGGGTTTGGTTAGAAAATAATCACAACTTGTGAAAGAATTCTAAACTTTGACAGGAATTTCCTGTACTAGAGGCCTTTCGGCAAGTCGGATGTTCCATTAATCCAGCCAATTAGCTGCAATATGGCTTTGTTCCCTCCGTTGGCTCCCTTCGGTCGCCTCCCGGAGCTTCTTCACTGTAAAACAATGAGCCGTGTCTCACCGTAGATGTCAAAGTACACGCGAGGATCAAAGGCGGGAACACCGGTACTCTTAAAAATCCAAACCAAAGTAGCCAATAGAATCGGTTGGAAAACTTTGTTTCCTGATCCAAACCCGCGACAGAGAAACAAGTTTCCGTCAATTCGATGTCAAAATGATGGACGACGCATGCCCTCCCGTGATATCGGTTACCACAAACGTCTTTCGAGACTCCTCACCAAATAAAACTTGTACGCTCAGACACTTACAGGCATACAGGTGCCTAAAGCCTGCCTTAATATGCGAGCCCATGAACTGTGCCGGCGTAAGTGACTGGCGTACTCTTGGGCCTCGCAGCCAGACCTGAACTAAATGCGGCATTTTGTTATACTACACTAAGAAAAATCGGACGCTTTGCAAAAACAAAATTGTTTTGCAATATTGCCCGGTTATTCGCATACTGGTTTCGAACTATACAGCGAAATATTATCTTTCTATCCACCACGCCCTCCATCGAACAGGTGACCGTACCCTATCATTGCGATTTAGTAGCGTCCGATACTTTTTTGCGCGGCATTTTGAATGCCACAAAATGGCAGAGTCAGGGCCGATTTTGCATTGGAGAAGAGTGAACGCAGCATCCGGCAATGTCCCACGTTCAAGACACGGACACAAAGCCGTTGCAATCAAGGATCTCATCGTTGTATTTGGTGGTGGAAACGAAGGCATTGTTGATGAGCTGCACGTGTTTAACACAAGTGCGTCCCAATTCCATAGTTTTTTCTAATTTTTAGCTTCTTGCCAGTGGTTCCTCCCCGCAGTACATGGGGACATCCCACCCGGGTGTGCGGCTTTCGGCATGCTCGCGGAAAACACCCGCGTATTGCTGTTTGGTGGTATGCTAGAATATGGGAAGTACTCCAACGATCTGTACGAACTTCAGGCATCACGGTGGGAATGGAAACGACTGAAGCCGAAACCTCCGAGAAACGGTCCTTGTCCGTGTCCAAGAATCGGTCATAGCTTCACATTAGTTGGACAGAAGGCGTTTTTATTCGGTGGTATCACTAACGACAGTGACGACCCGAAAAACAACATACCGCGGTAAGTCAGAGAGAATGCACAATTTGGTCTGTGCGGTTAAATATGTTGCTTTGGATGCTGGTAAATCCTTATAAAACTCGTCAGGGGAACTCGTCTGCGCTGATATATTGGAGAGTCAAAAACAACCGGTGGCTCTTGTTGGCTGTTTTTGTGACTCAGGTGGCCTGGCTGGACGTTGACTCCCTGTTGATCCCTCACCTACTAAACACAATTAATATTACGTCGAAATGAATCCATTTTATGCTCCTTTCCCCCACAGAATGTCCATGTGAAAACGGATGTATAAATTTTAGGCCACTAAATTGGCGCCTGGGAGTCCAACAGGTCACAGACTATATGGTTACTTGAATTCCACTGTTATTTAGCCGCTTCGGCTCGATGACCAGAGGTGATTCCCACAATGAAAGTTCCTAAAGTTGTCACTTTTGAGCTTCCAATGCAGTGCATTCGCTATGCAGTTCCAGTGGACATTTAAGCTTTAGCTACACAGGCACGTTTTTGGTAAGTAACGAAAGTCAATCCCAGGCTCTTCGGAAATCCGAGTAAGAGGCGCTTAATGCCAAACCCTTTTGTTTTCGGTTGTTCACGAGGTCAGAGTAGAGTTTCGTCCTCCGCTGGCAGTTGGCTCGTGTTAGCCGTTGGGTCAGATTGATCGGAATGCGCGTGCATTCCAAATAAAAGCTTATAATGGAAAAATAACGAGGCAGCTGCGTAACCTAAGAGTGGCCCACGACAAGCACCCGGTGCCTACATCTCCAGCTCTAAGTCAGATTATCTAAACGGAAACTGACAACACAAACTACTGACATCGGTTAGTCGCCGAATCGTTTATTGTTTCCACCCAAATTCTCGCGAAATTTCATTTCCTTCTACCCAGTCAAATGAAATCCATCTCAAGATTTCTGTCACACCGAATTGGGCACCGAAAACAGCTGTTCTGGGCACGCGTAAGACATGGCCCATCCACTTTAGTTTGCAATGCCGCATGTATTCTATGATAGAAGTACCCTCTGCTTCACTGAAAAACCGTTTCCCGATCACTTTATTGCGAATTTACTGATTTCAGTCGATTCGGGTCATATTTCTGAGACGCGGATGGTTGAGGAACTGAAGTTGTCCCAAATCCTACGACAGTTGGCTAGGCCTCGCAGTCGTGTAACAATATACTCGTCCCTTGTGATCCTGTGGGAAGAGCTTTCGACGCCACAATTAGCACAAATTGGCAAACGCAGTTGGGGTCTTTGAGATTCATCCGTTCACTTCATCTGTCACACTATCGTCAGAGTTGAGGCAACTTCCAAGTTACGCATCGTGTTCCATAGCTTTTAGTGTCACTCCTTGAATTCTCAAAGGCATGTTCAAAATCCACGTCTTGCAACATGACTCTGCATTTTGTGGGCGTGAAACACATACCAACCGACTGGATGACCTTGATCAGCTTGTCAAGTAATGCTCACTCTTCCTGTTCTTTTTTGAAAATGTGAACAATGTCGTCTGCATATTCCAGATTCTCATTTGGAGAGTTCTGAATATGTGTTTTGGGGACCTCCCAGCTTTTATCTGAGTATCTCCTCAATAACGAAAGCAAACAAAAATGGAGGGGTGGACGTAGTTGCTGGACATCACTGTTTACAAAAGAGTGGGGATTCCCAGACACCCATGTGTCCACAAGTATGTGAATATAAACAGCGCCTAGTACTCAAACTTCTAGGGCACACCCTATTGCACAAGTATATTGAGAGGTGCAAACCGGTTGGCAAAATCAAATACCCTTAAACATCAAGAATGTAGGGTGCCCGTACGCATGAAGTTGTGATCCACACAGCCCCTTCCAGGCCGAAATTCTGCTTGCTGATCTCGGTTCCTGTCGTATGATGAGGGTGTGTGGAGGCTGTATGTGGTTTGTGCTCTTCCATTGATGGCTCAGTGGTCAAAGTGCACATATACTGACCGGAAGGTTCGTAGTTCGAATCCAGCCTCTGCATCTCAACCACCATTGTATAGGCTTGGGCACCCTGGAAGTATCTCAGTCCTCATGCTTCTTTCAGGCGACGTGGCATCCAGGCATTGAAAGGGTACTACGGCTGAGCGATTTATTATTTTATTATTTCCCAATGGAGCAACCAATTTGTAATGCGTGATGTACGCTTTCACTCTAGTGAAAAAAGGTGCCGAATATGACCCCCTTAGCAGAGTGCACGTGGTAGTAGATCTGTTTTGAGCATATCATTTGGGTAGAAAGGACAAATCTACTGGTTTCTCAAGTCAGATTGAGGCATTTAGAGGCGGTGGCATAAACTGCTTCGGAATTCAGCATAAGGAATACAACTGAAGAAGCCTACGCAAAAGGGGCACAGAAAAAGTCTCCATTGTTCAAGTTTTACAGAAGCAAACATGAATATCATCGTTGATGACAACAGCAGTCATACCATTAAGTGGCTGTCACAACTATGGAGAAGAAAATATTCTGATTGTTGTTGGAAATTAAGAAAAGAGTGGAGACTTAGTTCCTGGATGCCTTTAGGTGAAGCGGCGAAGAGCTGTTGGCTTAAACCTTCGGGGAGTCCTAAAGTGAACGTGTCAGGCGACGTCAGCGTGAAACGTCCCCAATATACAAGTCGTCAAAACTAGCTTCACATGTTGCATTCAGCTGTAGCACCCTTTCGCTGTCTAACTGCGATGCCACCCGAAGGTTGCACAAGGGCTGGGATACCGCCGGGTTGCCCAAGCCTGGACAGGGGAAGTCGAGAGGCGGAGGTTGGGTTCGAACCAAGGAACTTCCGGTCAGTAAATTCGCGCTCTAACCACTTGGGCCATCTCGCTGGACATGACAGCCATGTCGTGGTGATCCTCACCGTGGGGACTGGTCGGATGCCGTTAGCTACAGGATTTTCAACTGCTGTCAAAGCGGAATCACTTAGGTCATAGTCAAGAGAGATAAGCACGCGAAATCTCGTCTTGTAAGTGTTTGTTGTTATGTTAATCTGCTGACTCATTCTTTGAGAGCATTCCGCCAGCAAGAGTTCGAGGTTGTCTGAGGATGGAAACATAGGAGTAACCCTTATACATGCTGTCGTTACTCAAGTGTTCCTTTTTGAGCAAGAATTATTAGGTCCACGCGGCTCCCGAGTGTTCCGCCGTGAAAATCGTCAGTCTTGTTTTGGTTGGCACATGCCCACTCGGTGCGATGAACAAAGGTCAAGGCGATTGAAATTATCCACCAACTTCTTTGTTGAACCTGTCGTCTCTGGGAATCTTGAGTGGTTTATTTTGTGTCCCGCGTTTGTGAGCATCCCTTCATTTGTCGTAGTTTTCACCGTTTTCAATCTGTACGGTTTCGTTATACCTTCCTGAAGATCAATGTCACAGTTATCCGCTTGCTAACTTTGGTCTTCTGTGAGTTGTTGGTGACGTGCAATACGGCGTGCGCATACCTTTCTCCTTGCCATGTATTCCAGAAGAGCTCATGCCAGGTGTTAGGAAATAAGCCTAGAAATAAGGGTTATGGTTTTTCGAAAACCTTTTCCGGTGCATAACTGCCTTGCAATCTGAGTGAAGCACCATGGCTGGGATGCTGAAGTTGCCCAAGCCGAGACAGAGACACCTGGCATCGATGTATGGAAGTACTAACCAGTAAACTCAGTCGGGCCGACAGCTCCCACCTCTCTAGATGGGGACTTCAGGGCTCAACTCATCAATGCTCAGTCATACAGTCGGTAGTGCTCGTGCATCCGAGCTATCTCTTTTGATGCGTTCCTGTCCAGTTTCCTGAACTAACTGATCGTGTTTTCGTCTTCAACGTTTGAGTCAATCTCCAACACACTACGGTGGCAGGAACTGTAGCAGATGTAATAAAAAAACACAATAATATAATAAATCGCTTAACTGTAGCACCCTTTCGGTCCCTAACTGCCATGCAACCAGAAAGAGGCACGAGGTACGGGATACTGCCAGGTTGCCCAAGCCTAGACAGTGGAAGTCGAGAGGCAGAGTTCGTATCTGAACCACGGGCCTGTTGGTCAGTAAATCCGCGCCGTGACCTACCCTTGTACATTGAGTTGGTTAGTAAACCGATTGAGACCGCGTATCATCTGGTCAGCAGTTCTTTATCTTAGGCACTTGGTTTTCCTCAGCTTGCCCTTCTATGGCTTGTCCGCATCGAGGCTTTAAGCATACTTCTAAGGACATTGACAGGACGATACCTTCTGTAATCAGGAGCTACTTGGGACCCAAAGCTGTTACCCTGCCATGGTAGTTTGGATTCAGTGCTGCTATTACCCTGTGGACTGTACTGCCTGGAACTCAGTTCCTAAATGTCCAACAGTGCCAAGAAGGCCGACGGGGAGCAGCCGGACGAATAACCGCGAGTCCCTGAATCCCTGCACCTGGTCCATATGGTTCCTACCCTGCAGTCTTTAAAGGTGGCAAGTCCGTGGCTTTGCTTACGACTTTACTCCAAAGTATCCGGATGCGGAAAGAATAGCGACAGAATGGAGCGCCTCGATGGCGATCCCTACAGTCGAAAAAGGTGCAGTAACATTGTATGATACCAGGACATTAATCTAGTGGCTGTAGCTTCCTAGTATTGTCCTTCAAAAGATGGATAGTCAGATTCACGAGTATCAAGCTTTCTTGTCCTGGCCGTATCTGCGTCGATCACACGTTCAATTTGTGACTGATGTTGGAACTGCGCCAATCCTTCCAAAGATCAAAAATGATAGCCCTTCTCGATCTCAGACGTGCCTTTAACTCCGTTGATCATCAGAAACTGTGGTGTGTCTTGCAATAAAGTGTTTCCTTCCGAATTCTTGTCTCCTACCGAGGCCTTATACGCCCCATTTCGTACATGCCCATGCCAAATTCTTCCCTACTTTCAAGACCTCCAGAGGGGGCCTCTGCCTCAGCTTCGTGGTCGATGTGCCGCTTGAGTCTTCCTTACCTGTCTCTGACAACCCATGCATAGAGATACTCTTGGTGCGCGTACTCGCGCACATTGAGTA